CGGCTGAGAAAACCTCCGGGACCGGGAAACTTCCATTGAGGCATCCGAGGCAGCAGCATGCAGAACGTGGTACCGGCCTCCGGCTCCTCGCCCGCCGCGGGGCACGGCTGTGTCAACCCCGGGGCCGCACCGGGATGCGCTGGCGCCGGGGCCGGCATAGGGGCGGCCGGAGGATGGCGCGGCCGGGCCGCGGCCCTCAGCGGCTCGTCGCGAAATCGGTCATACTTGGGCTCGGGGATCATGCCCCGCCGCCCCCGTCGAGCCGAACGTTCCCGTTCCGGCGCCGCTCCGCGCCCCGCACCGCTACCGCGCCGGCTCCCGCCCCCCACCCGCTCCCCCGGGGCCGCGCCGCGCTGATGTCATGGTGAGAGCGCTCCGCCGCCCGCCCCGGCCCCTCCCGGCTGTCTGAGCATCCCCGCCTCTCGCCCTCTCCGGCCCCTCCGTCCGTCCTTGCAGCCCCCTCCTACATCGGCAGCACGGCCCCGCCGGCACCCCGAGCTCCCCTGGCACCCCCCAGCATCACCCAGCTCCGAGCCCCCCCGTCACCCTTCGACATCACCCCACTCAGAGATCACCCAGCATCACCCAACCCTGAACCCCTTCCGGCACCCCCCAGCATCACCCAGCCTTCAACCACCCCGGCTGCGCTCCCCTCTGGCCTGCTGCCAACGATGGGAGCCCCAAAAGAGCCAGCTCTGTTCCCTGCCCCGAATCGGGAACACCCGAGGATGAGGTGGGATGAGCTCTTTTCCTGCACAACACGGGCTGCCTGTGCTGACAGAAGCACGGCTTGGTCCCCCTCCCACACCTGGGATGCCCCCAGTGGCCAGCAGGCAGCTTCTGGAAGGGGCCAGCAGCATCTTGCTGCTGCCTTCACCTGCAACGGGGATATTTGCTCCATTTTTTCTACCACTCCATTAATAGAAGCATTTGCAGGGTGCCTGGGGCTGCTTGGGAGGTGGTGGGTTGCAGGGGGGCTTTGCTGTACAAAATGGGGCTGGCTTATTTCCATGTCTCCCAACCCAGTGGTCTTGTCCACTCTGATTTTATCTGGCTCCCACTTGTTTATATCTGCCTGGAGGGCTTGGGCAGTAAAAAGCACGATCATTTTCTTGCTTCTTTGCCAGTATCTGCAGCAAGCTGGAGGGAGGGGGGGAGGATGGACGGACACACTTAAAGGGACTTTCTGACCTCAAACAATCATGTAACACTCTTCTCCTCCAGCCCTGGGGCTGCTGCTTTTTGGTTTTTTTCAGGGATTCAAAGGACTCAGACCTCCTGTCCAGCCTGGCATCCGTCCACAGCATCTGAGCAGAGGGGCAGGAGGCCAAGCCAGCCTTCATGAGGCATCGCACCCACTGTGGGGGCTCCCAGCATGATTCACACAATGGGGACCAAGCCCAGAGCCACCTCCTCACCTCAAATCCTCCCTCGGGTGCTGTTTATTTCTGCCTTTCCACTTTCAGCTGAGCATCTTTCGAAGGATGAGGACTGAGAGGGATGCTCTGCTGCAGAGGGGTCAGGTCTCTGCCCCACAAAACAGAACTGGAGCCTCCCTGGGGGCCTGCAGTGCCCTGGACAATGCACAGCTGCCTTTATCTCGCCTTCTTTTCACTGTCTCCTTCTCCCTGGCAGATGATGGGGGTGAAAGCCAGTAATCACTCTAAGTGCAATCGATAAATCAGGGTAATAGAATTACATACATTTGCTGTTGCCATATTAGGAACAGCTTCTCTTAGCCTCTCTCTGCCCTTCTTGTTTTGGTTTTTAAACTGCTGCAAAGTGCTGGAACATGCTGGACTCCTGCAAGCTCCATGGGGCAATTCCAGCCCAGGCTCAGGGTGGGGGGTGGTTGGTCCCTGCAGGCCCTGCCTGATGCAGGCAGCTTTTTTGTCCCCATCACTTCATCTCACATGTGAGAAACGCTCACAAAGCCAATAACATCATCCCAGGCAAGGATCTCAGTGAGCAGTGTTTTATTTTGTTATTGCAGCAGTGAGCATTCTGCAAGCAGAAGTGCCTGCTGTAAGAAAAAACAAGCTCTGGTGTCTCCTCGTTCCCAGCACTGAGTCCCCCTCCATGCTGCCATTCTTCACATGGGTGGTTGGCAAAGTCCATCTCTCTTTTATTCCTCCAAGTAAGCAGAACCCACGAGCCCAGTATCTCCCCTTCATACACCAGCCAAATAACTGTGAGTCTTCTCGTGCAGATCTGCCTGCAGATGTCTGTCTCACAGCCTTTGGTTGCCCATCCTCCCCCCAGCGATCTCTCCATGACCCCCACACTTCTTCTGCATGGCTGCCAGCTCCCGCAGGCTGCTCCCCAGTCTTGCACAGGTCCCTGATGGATCATTTTCATCTCATTAGCAGCTTATTTCAGGCTCTGGAGAGCTAGCTTCGAAGCAAGGGCTTCCCTGCCCTCCTCCCCCCCCTCCCTCATCTGCTTTTAATCATTAGTCAAAGAAAAGCTTCCAGGGATAAAGATCACAGCCTCTGTTGGCACGACGCAGCATCTTGTCACACCACTGCAATCCAAAATCCAGGAAGAAAACTCTCTAACCCCAGAGCAGTGTTAAAAAGTGCCATTCCTTTATTCCTCAATACACACCAGGCAACTTGACAAACCAGAGCACTTTCTTAGAGTTCAGGTTCTACATTTAAACAGTTAAGACATGCATATGCAGCCCATTGGCATACATATTCATTCTTTACCAAGAACTCATTAATATATGTTAATATCCCTCTGGACATATGCTGTAGCATTTAGGGTGGTTGTATGCCCACTTGCTTTCTCCCTGTTTTTCCACCATCAGTTCCAGCACTGAGACTTTTGGCCAACCTTCAGCTGTTTTTCCATTGCTTGTAGGCCATAATGAGCAACTTCCAAAACAATATATGTGAAAATCCAAGGAAAACCTCTTTGCACCTGCTGAAATGTAAGCAGTCTATCAGGAACCCCGTGCTTCTTGTGGAGCAGAATTAAGAGAAAACAAGGCTGTTCACCCACCAAGCAAAGTTAAAATGGAACATTTTAGAATGAGCACTCATTGATTCCTTTTGCTAAAAGAATATATTGGTCCTTAAACCAATGTGCTGATCCCTATTGCTAAACAAAGCAGCCTATATCACCCCACCATGGCAAGGGTCTTCACAGAATCACAGAATGGCCAGGGTTGGAAGGGACCTCAAGGATCATGAATCTCCAACCCCCCTGCCACATGCAGGGCCACCAACCTCCGTGTTTAATGCTAAACCAGGCTGCCCAGGGCCCCATCCAACCTGGCCTTGAACGCCTCCAAGGACAGGGCATCCACTTGCCCTGCTGGGGGACCCCCCAAGCCACAGAACAGCCTCAGAGCAGACAGGGCTGATTTCCATCTCTCTCCAGGTTGCATCTCTTCATATTTCTAGCTGAGATGATGCAAGAGGCTCCTGTGGCCCTTGACACATGTGGTTCCAGCACCACAGAGCCAGGGATGGACGAGGAGAAGGGAGGGCAAGCAATGTTGGCCTCCTGCCATGCTGCTCCCCAGCATTTGCATAACTTTTCTAAATTGTGCCTAACGAAGCTCCTTGCACCTCTGGCACTGCATGAAGGGAATAAGCATCAAGGACTCTCCAATCCATGAAGCATTAATTAGGAGAGGGAACACACGCATACAAGCAGTGTTGCTGAAGCAAGCACGGGTCTGTCAGTGCTGAGCACGTGTCCACAGCTGTCACAATGTCCCCATTTGGTGGTGGGTTTGGGGTGAGGGGGCTGGGACCATGCTGGGAAGACACCCGGCTGCTATGACCCTGCTTCCCCCACCTGAGAAAGGATGCAAGTTTTCCCTTTGGCTCTACCAAAAGAAGCAGCGGAAGACATTTCAAAAAGACACTTTGCTTCGAAGCTGTGCCAGCAGAGAGGAGCCCTCCCTGAAACATGAATCCCCCCTCAAAGTGCTGACACATCAGGACACATTAAAGCAAGCCTGGTGAAATAGGAGAGCTGGTCATGGCTGCGGGTGTGCAGGGCTGCAGCAGCACTGGGGCAGGGCTGAGCACTCAGATGAAGGCAACTGCAGTGTCCCCTGTTTGGACAGGGCTGCCCTCTGCCTCCCCAAGGCAAACCCTTTGGTTTCAGCCCATCTGGCACCTTTAATGTGAGGATGGGGGGCTGGGGACAGCACTCGTCTTTCATAGGGGCTGCCACAGAGCTCGAACTCCTTTCTCCAACCCCCAGAGCAAACCAAGGCAGAACCCAGGCTGCCTCTGGGACACAAAACCACAGAATCCCGAGCCAGAAGGGACCTGTGAGGTGGTCTTGGAGGCCCAGGGGATGTTGGCACACGGCAGAATGATTATTTGATAGCAATAGAATGAGAAGGAATGGCTTCAAGCTAAAAGATGAGAACTTTAGGTTGGATGTAAGGGAGAAATCCTTCACCCTGAGGTGGTGAGGCCCCATCCCTGAAGGTGCCCAAAGCCACGGGTGAGCCGTGGGCATCCTGAGCTGGAGATGAAGGGGCACTGAGCCCATGGAGGGGCTGCAGGTCCCTTCCAACCCAACCATGCTGTGGTTATGATTTGGGGCAGCCCCAGGAGCTTCCAGGAAGCACTGAACCCCCGCTCAGCACTCGTGTTGCCAAGGCACCAAGTGTCTCCTACAGCACACCAGCCCATTAAGGGCGCAGCGCCAGGCCCAACGTTAATTAGCACGGGTTAATTGCACGCTGCGCCGACCCAGCGCATCCCATCGTGCCTTGCGCCACCCCCAGGCAGCTGTCTGACGTCACGACACCGCCCCTCACAAACCTTCAAGCGAAGCACCGCCTCCTCTACCCCTTCCAACCAATGAGACGGCAGGCGGCGAGCGGAACAGCCAATGGGACGCGAGGATTCAGCGCGCGACAGAGGGGCGCCGGAAGTGACCGTCAACGCCATCGTCCGGGCGACGGGGGCGCGGCCGCGGGGCGGGAGGGGCCTGATGGCCGGGCCGGGCCGCCCGCCTTCCCCCGTTCCATCCGCCGCCTTTTCCCGCCTCCCCGCACCGGGTTCTGCGCTCTGACCCCACCCGTTGGGCGCGGGTCCGAGCCGGGCTCGGCGCGACCCACCGCTGGGAGGATGGGGCAGCCGAGGAGGCAGGAGAACGGCAGCGGCCTGACGGCGCAATGACCGGCGAGAAGAAGAAAAAGAAGCGGCTCAACCGCAGCGTCCTGCTGGCCAAGAAGATCGTCATACGGGACGGGGCCGGCGTGAGTGGCTTTGAGGGGGTCGGGGCGGCGGGGAGGCTCGGTCCTGCTGGATGTCAAGCGTCTCCAGGCGCTGTACCGGCAGCTGCTGCTCCCACAGACCGGGTCTCGGATGGGATGGAGCGGCTCTGCCTTTCTGAGCCTCCGATGGACGCGGCTGCTCCTCTAATCACAGAATCACAGAACGGCCAGGGTTGGAATGAACCTCAGAGATCACAGATCTCCAACCCCCTGCCACACGCAGGGCTGCCAACCTCCACATTTAACACCAGCCCAGGCTGCCCAGGGCCCCATCCAACCTGGCCTCGAACACCTCCAGGGATGGATGGGGCATCCGCAGCCTCGCTGGGCAGCTGTTCCAGCACCTCACCACTCTCTCTATAAAGAATTTCCCCCTGACGTCCAACCTAAATCTCCCCTCCCTCAACTTCAAACCATTTCCCTTCGTCCTGCAGTTATCAACCCTTTCAAAGAGTTGATTCCCCTCCCCTCTATAGGCTTCTTTTAGGTACTGAAAGGCTGCACTGAGGTCACCCCGCAGCCTTCTTTTCTCCAGGCTGAACAAGCCCAGCTCCTTCAGCCTGTCTTCATAGAGGATGATCCTATGGGGGTTCTGTTCCCGTGGGTGTACGTGGAAATTTTGGGGGTGTTTCCTGGTGTAGGGAGCCTGCTTTGGCAGGGAGCTTGGATTCGATGATCTCAGGAGGTCCCTTCCAACCCCTACGATTGTGTGATTCTGTTTGTGGTGTCATCATTTGGCAAACTTGCCTTGGGGTCTGGGTGAAATGTTTGTTTGTTTGGAGGGTTGTGTGAGGAGCTCCAGGCGCCGCTGCTCTGTACCTGGAATGGAAGTTCCAGCAGAGTGCCTGGTAAATGGCAGCTCAGAGAGAGGCACACCTGTCTCATAAGGGTGGCAGTGAGCCTTTCCTGTGCTCCTGGTCATCAGACTCCTGGTGATCTCTTTGTATTTTATATCTGCGCATCCAAGAGGGGTGCACACCCTTGTGGGGTGACTCCAATGATGAGTTTTTCTCTATTGCTTAAGGAGTGGAACAGGTTGCCCAAGGAGGCTGTGGATGCCCCATCCCTGGAGGCATTCAAGGCCAGGCTGGATGTGGCTCTGGGCAGCCTGGGCTGCTGGTTGGCCACCCTGCACACAGCAGGGGGTTGGAACTGGATGAGCGTTGTGGTCCTTTTCAACCCGGGCCATTCTGTGATTCTATGAGTGTAATTAATGCAATGAGGTGATTGATAGGTGGAAGCTGTGAGCAGGTTCCACGTGGATCTCTGCATCTGCTGCGTGAAGAGATGGGCTGTTAGTTTTGTTTCAGTTGTGATAGAAATGGTTGAGAGAACACAAAGAGGGGAGATGAAAGCAAGAGGGGGCTGCTGCCTTCTGCAGAGAGGTTGTTAGGTGAGTGGAACGAGGTGGGTTTGTGCCACCGTGGGCCTTCTTCCTCTGCTACAAACAGCCATCTCACTTGTGTGCAGTAAAACTGACTGCTTTGAGTTTCCCTAGGGCAGGGTTGGGTGCCTCTTGGCTCTGCTGGTGACTTGATTTCTTCTTTTAAGGAGGCTTTTTGTCGAGTTGAAATCATTCTGTTGCTAACGGGTGAAATGAGTTCTTGTGGAAGGGAGCACGTTGTGCTACTGAATGTTTGGCCTGTGCAGTTCTCTGGTGTCATTCAGCTGAGGTTTTCCCCTCGTTCCTCGTGATTTGTGTTACTTGTGAGCTCATGACTTTGTAAATGTGTCCTGTGTGACAGGAGATGACCTTCTGGGCAGGCAGCTGAACAAATGCTGCCTTAGAAGTGCTGGGAGAGATCTTAAAAGTAAGATAAGCAAACTCTTCAAGGCTTCTTTTTAAGCTGATCTGAAGGATTGGCCTTTTCCATCACGTTGAACAGAGTCAGCATTGAGGGCTAAACTCGCCTTTCCAAAAGTCTGGAGCCTTTTCTGAGCTGTTGCATCTACTGCTGTCCAAAATAGGCAGTGGGGCCAAATAGGCCATGTCAAAGCTCTTTAAGGTGAGGGTTGGAAGGGTGATGTGTTCAGTTGTCTTTAGGGAAGGCTTAACGGTATCAAAGATGCTCTTTGAAAGGGAAGAAAAGAAAGAAACCAATGGGCTTTGTAGGACAGGTAAGGATTGGAAGACCCAGAGGGAGTCACCCTGGGTGGGGGGGACAGCTTCGGTCAGAGCTGACATTTCAGCTCCCAACCAAATGTATTTATCTCAAACCAGGATGTGCATATCTTTAATTAGGAGCTTTGTTTTGCAGCGACAGGGGATTGGAGAGCCCAGCGTGTACCACGCAGTGGTGGTGATTTTCCTGGAGTTCTTTGCCTGGGGTTTACTAACCACTCCAATGCTGACGGTGAGTGATCGTCCTCCTGTAGCTGAGGGTTTGCCTTGAGATGCTGATTGCTTTCCCATTTTCCCCGTGCTGTGTTCTCAGAGCCATCTGTAGCCTGCAGGAATGGAAACCCTGTGCAAGTTGCTAGCATGCTGTATTTTTATTTCTCCTCCTGTAGGTGTTACACCAGACTTTTCCTCAGCATACATTCTTGATGAATGGTCTGATTCACGGAGTCAAGGTAAGGGCTGTTCCTTCTGCTCTCACGGCTGCATGGAATGAAATCTAATCTGTACCTCGCTTGCATTTGAGTCTGAGTTCAAAGCAAGAAGTGGCAAACCATGACATTTACTGATCAGCCAGTGTTTGATGTTCATATTTAACGTTGGGTTGCTCACTAGCAAACCTAATGGAAAATGAAGGATTGATAGGACATAAAATTGGGTAGTTTGTGTAGTTGACCTTACTGAGAAGAATTAACAATGTGCTGCTTGTTAGCAGCTGTTTGGAGCTGTAACAAATGTGTTTCAGCTGAAAGCATTCTGAATCTTTATGATATCAGCCACGGAACCAAATTGAGGAGAAAAGAAATCGATGACATCTGAACTTATCAGTAAGGAAAAACTGGAATTGGTCTGGCCTTAGTGGGTTCTTATCAGAGAAAGTAAAGAGTGTGCTGCAGTGTGGTGAATGGATTCTGTGACTAGGCCAGATCCCCAGAGCAGAATGTGAGGCAAAACCACTGGAAAAGCAATAGCCAGGTGTTCTGACTCAGAAGTGAGACAAGATGTGTTGCTAGGCCACAGTTCTGGCAGAAAAGATCTCAAGAAATAGCATCAGAGGGGTTCCCTTTGCTGTGTATTGGAGCTCCCTGCTATGCTTAAGGACTGTTCCCTGCTTATCTCTGCTTTGAAAGGCACTGAACTGTTTTATTTGTGCTTCATTGGTTTCTCGTCAGGTCTGACTCCATCTAAAAGAGAAAGCTTTCCCTAGATCTGTAGCAGATGCTAATGTGACAGAGCTGTGCCAGCTTCTTTTTAGGTAGTGGCAGGGCAGCTCCCTGCTGCACAGGGGTGCCTGGGGAGACCACAGCTGCAGGCTGAGCAGCTGCAGAGAATGGGAAGCTGCTGGATTATTTAGCAGCATTTAGCTGCTCAAGGATTTTGTTCTCCTCACTGAAAATGTGAGCAACTGAATGAACTGTTACGTTTTGGTAATATCACCTGCTTGTAGGAAACAGGCATGGGTTCTTTATCTTCAGATGTTGTCTCCAAAAGCTCTTGCTGTTGATAATTAGAAAGAAACCCCTCAGTCAAACTGTCATCTTTTCTGCCTTTCCCAGGGTCTGCTTTCTTTTCTAAGTGCCCCGTTGATTGGTGCTCTCTCTGATGTCTGGGGCAGGAAATCCTTCCTCCTCCTCACTGTCTTCTTCACATGTGCACCAATTCCCCTTATGAAGATCAGTCCGTGGTGAGTTTGTTCTTGTTCAAACTGAGTGGTTCTGAGAAGAAGAGCGAGTGTGAAGCTCAGCAGTGAAGGATTTGCTGGTATTGCATTCAAAGATGAGGTGGAAGTGTCCAGCAAACAAGGAGCCTGGCCATGTGGCCTTTCCTCAGCCTAGAGACTGATTTACTTGTCCAGTTCCGCCAAAGGATTCAGTTTCAGGAAGAAAAGCTTTATTGCTTCACTTGGTAAAACATAAACCATAACAGAAGGGGAAAATAAATCATAAAACTTCATAGGCTGCAAGCCTGCAGCTCAGTGCTGCTGAGTGCTTTATGATGCAGTGAAATAAGATGGACTGGAGCAGGAATATGGCAGGGGGAGTAACTCAACTTCTGCCATGTGGCTGGTCTCTAACTCTGCCTTTGGTAACATCTGTTTCAGGTGGTATTTTGCTGTCATTTCCATGTCTGGAGTCTTTGCTGTCACCTTTTCTGTGATTTTTGCCTACGTTGCTGATATCACACAGGAGCATGAACGCAGCACAGCATATGGCCTGGTAAGGAGCTTAGTAACAGGGTCATCTATTGAAGGAAATACTTGGGGTCTGGCTGTTAGGACAGGTGTAAAATTAGGGTGGGAGCCTTACAGACATCAATCTTGAGGGCAGTATCTGTGACAAGATGATACGAGCTTTGCTAATGTTAGTCTCACATTCTTGCTTTTCTTGGAGCACTGAGAGAGCAAGCTAATCTCTGTGTTTTCTGAGCTCCAGCTGTATTGTTGCTCGGCCTTTAAATCAGCCTGGTCTGTCAGCTTCTTTGCACAGTTAAAGAGCTCAGACCATGATGCTGGTGTGCATGCAAGTAGCCTGTGGTTGTGCCCTTCCTATGGAGTCACTGGAAGCACCATAACCAATATGAACTGGCAGGATAGCTTTAATTGCCTTTTGCTAGAACTCAGCCTGGATGGCACCAAGCAAACATGCCATATCCTTGTGTACAAGAATCCCTGTCCACGTGGATTGTCTCCTTCCAATATAATACCCTTCAGTTACTGTGGGATAGAAAATAAGCTCTGGTCAGGAGAAGCTGTGTTATTCATCTCTTATGCTTCTAGGTGTCAGCCACGTTTGCTGCTAGTCTGGTCACAAGCCCAGCAATTGGTGCATACCTTTCCCAAGCCTATGGTGATACACTGGTAGTCGTGCTAGCTTCAGGTGTTGCTTTGCTGGATATTGGTTTCATCCTGCTGGCTGTGCCAGAATCTCTGCCAGAAGAGATGCGTCCTGTCTCCTGGGGAGCTCCAATCTCTTGGGAACAAGCAGATCCATTTGCTGTAAGTGATCTTGCTGCTGGTTTTCTGCACTCTGGTGATATCTGTGGGTGCTGTAGTTCTGCTGTTTTCTCTCAAAAGAAAGATGCATTCCACAGAAGATCAAGACGAATGCTGGCAAAGATGCAGTTTAACTGACAGCAGACTGCATGTATATAAAAGTAACAGCTTCTTTCTTACCTGAGTAGCTGCATGTGTGAAGTCTTAAAGCAAGAGCATCTCTGGAGGAAATGTGCCAGATGTATTAAATAGCAGAGAATCATAGAATAGCTTGGGTTGGAAGGGCTGCTCTCAGGGAGTTCTTCTCCCACTTTACATACCTGGCATTACCCCGAGCCAAGTGCAAAACCTGACACTTTTCTTTGTTGAACCTCAATTATGTTCCACCTTTAGAGCTTATCAAGTTCCCTCTGGGTGCCATCACCATTGGTCAGTCCATCCAATACCTGAACCAGAAAGCTGTTGTGGATCCAGGAGTCTCTTGGATCTGGTATTCTGTGAATCATCCCACCACAATAAGCAACAAGATCATAGCTTTCTAGGTGCACCCTGGTTTCTACCTGCTGCTGCAATATGAATTACTGTACTGAGCAGTAGGGTTGTGTCAGGAGAAGTCTTGTGTGTCCCTGGCTTTTTAAGGACTTGCTAATGGTAGTGAGCTTTGCAGAGTTTCACCTCCTCTGCTTGCTTGGAGAATTATGTGGGCAGCCTGAGGGAATAAAAGCTGGGATTAAAAGCAGTTGGCTGTGAATGTCAGAAACTGAAAAGCAAAAATTCCTCATTCTAAGGTGTAAATTGATGTAATTTTGTGTCTTGTCTGGTGTGCTCTGTGGCAGCGTTCACATCTTCACCTGGAATGCTGGGTATTTGCTGTTTATGAACAGAAGGCATTTACAGAGGGCTGTTCTGAGTAAACAAGTGTAGTCTTATCCAGGCATTCCCTTTTTGCATGTGAGATGGTAACTTAAACACTTGTGTTTACCTGCACAGTATGCAACAGGTTTTAACTTGTTGGTTTTTTTTCCCCTCCTCTTTTTTACAGTCTTTGAGGAAAGTGGGTCAGGATTCTACAGTGCTGCTCATCTGTATCACTGTCTTTCTCTCCTATCTTCCTGAAGCTGGCCAGTACTCCAGTTTCTTCCTGTACCTGCGACAGGTCAGTGAGCAAAGGAAGGCTCTGAATGCACAAACCCAGCCTAGAAATGTTCTCTACACTGCATGTCCATAGGAAACTGATGTTGGCCAATGGCTTAATGAAGCTGAAACCATAAGAAACAGTGACATGTTCCAGCTTTCCTAAAAATAAAATAAGAAAAAAACAGATATGGGAGCCTCTTGATCACTTTGTGTTTTATTCCACTCAGGTAGCAGAACGTGCAGTTGATTAACATTTAAGGAGCTGACAAGCAGTGTCAATAAATGGTAGTGGCACTGATGGAGTGATTTTTGTTGTGTGGTGCACATCTCCTGCCTGAAGAATCCCTTCTTGGTGTTTTCACAGGTCATTGGTTTTTCCTCAGAGACTGTGGCAGCGTTTATTGGTGTTGTTGGAATTCTCTCTATACTGGCTCAGGTGAGAACTGATTTCTGCCTATGATCTGAGAGTCAGGTTATGGGCATATGCTAAGCTTCTGATAATTTGGATTAATGACTTGTCAGAATCCCCGTGGCTACTCAGATACCATCAGTGCCACTTACAGCTACCTGTGATCTCCTGTCTGTTCATCTGGGTGTAGCTGTTGTCAGGGAACAACAAACTGTGGAGTGGTTGCTCTGTAAAACATCATAGATTATGCTCTGACTGCTATAAAAAGGGACATGCTGGTTTCTATGAGAATGTGATCAGAATGGAGGAGTGCCTGTGCGTGGCAGAGCAATCTCATGGCAGCAAGAGTTCCATCTGATTCCTGTTCTCTTATTCTTCAGTGTGTTGTCACCTCTCTGCACTTACTTTGTTTTTCTTTCACTTCCAGACAGTAGTCTTGGGAATTCTCATGCGTTCAATAGGAAATAAAAACACCATCCTGCTGGGACTAGGCTTCCAGATCCTGCAGCTTGCCTGGTATGGCTTCGGATCACAGCCTTGGTAAGAGTTTGCCCATCTTTGGCTTCTCCCTCCGTGGCTCTGTGACAGGACTCTGTCCCCAGCAGAGGGAGATGCTGCTCCACATGCAGTGCTGGTTTATAGCAGCTCCTTGGGAGCCTCCCTGCTGACTGCTTCCTCTTTCTCTCCAAGGATGATGTGGGCAGCAGGGGCTGTGGCTGCCATGTCTAGCATCACCTTCCCAGCCATCAGTGCCATGGTGTCTAGGAATGCAGACCCTGACCAGCAGGGTAAGTTCAGTTGCTTACTTGTTTCATGGGTAAGTTCATCCTAGCAGCACTCAGGTCACAAATATTCTCTGTCCCCAGGTGTAGTGCAGGGGATGATCACTGGAATTCGGGGTCTGTGTAATGGCCTGGGGCCAGCTCTCTATGGCTTTGTCTTCTATCTCTTCCACGTGGAATTGAACGAAATGGCCGAGGTGGAAACTTTGGGTAAGGCCTCCAAACCCAACATGGCCAACCCAACGGACGAGGTAATCCGCTCAGTTTTATCATGCAGTTGTTGGGGTGCTTCTTCTGACATTGCCTTCAGCATTAACCATTCCTTTGTTTTTTTCCTACAGAGCAGCATTATCCCAGGGCCTCCTTTCCTGTTTGGAGCTTGCTCTGTCTTGCTGTCGCTCCTGGTGGCTTTGTTCATTCCAGAACACAACCTCACTCTGAGATCAGGCAGCCACAAAAAGCACAGTAATGGAGCCCAGACCCACACCCACAGCCCACAGGCTGGAGCTTCGGATGGCAAGGAGCCCCTGCTTGAGGACAGCAGTGTATGAGGTTGGGAGAGAAGGACCTGGCTTGTGTCTCAACTCCAGATCAAAGATGGACTTAGTTGGGGTTTGGGGAGAGAGGGTGGGAGGCAAAGAAGGAGCGAGATGAAAGACTGTACCACGAGCAGCTCACGAGAAGGGAAGTGGTTTCCCTTCAAGCCAAATATACTCAGCTGGTGCAAAAATGGCATTGTATGGTCTGGTGCTGATGGAAAGGGGAGATACAGAACTGCTGTGCATGAAGGGATCTTTCTTTAAAGCAAACCTGCCCTTGTTGTGAACACTGAACTTCATGGTGTGACCTGCCAAATACTCAACTCGTCAGTGAAAAATTGAGGAGCTAGCATTGTCTGTGTTCTAATGTGAACTAACTCGTGTGCCAGCCAGAATAAAACAAGGCATCTGTTACATCCCCCCATCCCCTTACATAATTGGTCCTCGATGCTGATCCCGTTTGCAGCTGAGTTGGCTGACCTCAGCCTGGGGGAGGCAGAGAGGCTGCACTGTGCAGCCCATACTGTAATACCACAGCAGGTGAAAAGTGTGCGTGGATGAAGAACAGGTAGCATAGTCACCATCTTGAGGATCAGGTGAATTTGTCCATTTTGGCCCGGGTGATGCTTACTTAGATGAGAAATGGATGCTGTCCTGAGCTCACAAGAGAGAATGGGCAGATGGAAAGCAATTATACGAATTACAGATGCTTAGGTGGTCAACGCTGGTGTTTTTCATGGAGGTTTCTGTTGCTTTTGTGTTGGCTTTTTTTGTTGTTGCTACGCTGATGTGACACTTCTGTCTGTCACTACCTCCATAGGAAGTAGGTAGAAGGATTTTGGGGGGGAGGGAGGGGGGGATTTTCTTCTGGAAGTGGAAAGGTTGGTTAGGAAACAGCTTCTTAAGAGGCAGGAGAAAGAAGTGAACTCTGCTAAGCACTTTGTTAAAGCTTGGCTTCCTGAGAGTGAGGTGAGAGAAATAGCTGTCGAGCACTTCTATGAAGCATGTTGATTTTTCCACAGACTCTTCCCAACTTGATATGAAAACCAGATAACGAGTGTGATTTGTTTTTTCTCAGCCCAAAGGAGCCTGGTGAGGGCTGCAATTGCTTTGAATCTGCAAGTCTGTATTCCACGCAGCATTTCTGAAGGCTGTTGTTTTGCTGAAGGATGAAACTGCAGCCTCTTCTGCGGGGTTCAGCTGTGCTTAGGAGAAGAAACAGAAACTCTGAGTGCTGTGAAAGAAGCTGAGGTAGATATGGGGAAGGCTTGGTTGTTTTTAGATACATAGAGATAGTGAAGTGGGCAGGAAACAATTGTATGAGTGAGAGAAGAAATAAAGGCACTGGGGAAGCAAAGACCAAACTGGGGGCACTTAAGGAACTTGTTGCTAAGGGGATTGTGGATACAGTGGCCAAAAAGCCAGTCCCATCTCAGCATGGGGTATGCATACAGCTTCTTGGGGATCACTTCTCTGTGGGTTCAAGAGAGTAATTTAAGGGAGAAAGACCAAAAGGGATCACTGTCACTTCATGTCTTGGTTCTTTGCAGATGGGTAACTGTGTTTGGTGCTGTTCCTGTGCAGCAATGACCAAAATGAATGAAGAGCATCCTGTTGGCTTATCAACTTTTCTGGACCAGTTAGTTAGTGGAGGTGGGCATTTAAGTGAAGTAATTCATCTTTTGTTTACCAAGAACTTTGGCTGGTACTTAGATCCTGTCATAAGAACTGTAAGAGCAGCTGATTGCCCATGCAGAGAGCAGCTGCCTCAGACACTGAGGGTTGGCTTATGCAGCTCTAACTGTGGGACTGGAGAAGGTATCAGCAACATGTGGAGGCTCCAGTTTTCTTTCTGCCCCATGTTTCCAGACCTTTTTGGGATGGGTTGCACTGTGGATGCACAGCACACACCTTTCCTGAAGTGAATCCCCTCACTTAAACTTCTAGGCAGCAATTCCAACTCTGTGTTGCTTACAGAAATAGCTTTTATTCGACTGGAGCTTCACCAGGTAGATCTGGTGCTTCATTTGTTTGCACTGTACGAAAATGAACTCAAGTAGTTCCGTCCCTCACATGCAAATGAATTGAAATTAAACGCTGAATAGTTACCTCATTCACACTCAAAAGCTTCACAGGTTAAAACAGAACGTTACAAAACCAAGACGAGCCTAATTTATATTATATAAAATATACAGATAGATATATTTTTCAAAGTCCTTTCCTATATATGATAATTTATTCCACCGAGGTCTCTTCCCAACCTGCCAGGGTCTGCAATGCAGGCAGAGGTGGCACAGTGGGGATGGGTGTGAGATGCTCCCAATCCCACAGTGCTGAGGGTGCAGATGTTGCCTGGAGGGCAGCAATCCTTGCCTTCCCTGCAGGTGCTGCTTGTTGTTATGGGCACTGGAAGCAAACAGGGATTTGTTCTGGAGTTCCCTCAGTTGGGTGGGGGGCTCTTGGCCCTGCTGGAACCCCTCTCTCCCTGGTAGGCGTAGGGATGTGATCCACCATTCTGCCTTTATGTGAGAGACACTGCCTCGAGCCCAGATTACTGGACCTGAATGAAGAATGTGCCTAATTCTGAAGGGCTGGTAATTCTGCAGCGTCGGTGGTGGAGGCTGGAAAACCTATAGAGAGCATTGAGTTAGCGTTGCCAAGTTTTGTTATTTTCTATGGAAATGCAACTTTTTTTTTTTGTAAAAAGAGCCTTTTCTGTCAACCCCTTTGATTTGCTGTGTGATGCCTGAGCCTGGCCAGTATCAGCATCGGCGTTGTGCACTGAGTTACACTCTGGGTTGGTGAACAGCAATGCCCCAAGCATACAGCAAAAGAATGAGCTCAGCTGCCTTTCCTCTGCAGCTCCAACGTGAACAGCAGCAGTTTGAGTGAGTTTATAAAGCTGCCCTTGTTGCATTAGAGAAACTGACTGCATTAAAGCCACCGCCTGCCCTTTTGCCGTTACCTTTGCAAAGGAATCACTTTGAACTTTGTTTTTCTTCTTCCATTTGCACTTGAATTGCTGCGGTCATCTTTGAAGTGTGGGCACACAGCAAGCCCACGTTCGTTCGTTGGAGAACGGCTCTAAGTTTACTATGGTGTGCATTTCTGTATCTCTTTTTTTAAGTTAACATTGAAATGTATTTATTTCGGTTCCAGTTGTGTTTAGCACTGGCTAATCTCTCCTCTGATGGATTATTTATTAAACTGCTGCATTCCTGTTGCGTTGAAGCTCTCTCTTCTGATCTGTTACAAGATGGATTTGGGGCTTTTGGAGGCTGTGTGTGTTTCTGGATGGTCTCTGGTGACTGGTTGGGGCTGGAGTCCACACGTGAGGTTCTGTACAGGGCACAAATCCACCTGGTTGTTGGTTTTCACCAATTTCTTCCAAACTTGTGTTCTAGAATGAAAAGTACATGAAACCAATTCACATTCAACCTGATTCTGGAGCCATCTATCTGGATTTTCATGGGAGCATTAGAACAGCTTCACAGCTCTCACTGCTTTGGTGCCTGAAGGTAAAACACGCTGAGCTGAGCTTCTGCTGCTCGCCTTACTCATCCAACAAGAAAGAGACCTCCAGGCTGCATGTCCAAGGTAACATTGATGGTACCAGGTATGATTTGGGGGTTGTGCAAGCTGGGATGGCTGTCTGCAGTTCAGCTCCATGCACAGCAGCCATTCCCTGTGCCCCAGCATCCCCATGGGGGCTGTAGCATGCAGCTGTCAGCATCCCAACCTGCTGCCCTCATTTCCAGGCAGGCTTCATTTAGATCTTATCTTCCCCATTTAAGTGGGGTTTTCAGGATCATACTAATGTGAACAATGTAATCACAAGTAGCATAAACAAATCCAAATCAGATCCTTTGATGGATGGCCAATGCTCTGTAATGAGCTGGAAATACGAGCCCTCTATTATAAACGATGCTGCATTTTGTATTTATTTCCTCTGGACTTTTGAGCTTATTATGTTAGGTTTTTTTCTACTGTTGTCTGAAGGGGAAAAAAAGACCCTCAGCTTGTCTCAGCATCAGTGTGCTGGAGGGAAAAGGAAATGGTGTACATCACCAGTCCAACCTTGAACTCCAGCACTGCGTTTGTAGGTTTTGTTGCACGTTTTGTTTTTTTCCATCTCTGAAAGAGTTTAAAGACCTTTTAGACTCTCAGTCTGATGCTTAACAGTAAACTTCAGAAGGATTTGGGCTTTGCCAGCTGCCCCAAGTGTGGTCTTTCATAGAATGGCTTGGGTTGGAAGGGACCTCGAGGTTGAAGTTCCAAACCCCTGCTGCTGCAGGCAGGGCTGCCGACCACTGGATCAAGTACTGGAATAGAAGCATCACCTGTGTGCTCTTGCAATTTTTAAGGATAAAATCCATTGAAGAGAAAAGACTGAACAAACTGTGGGGTGATGGGATGCTCGGGGATGAAAGTCTGGCCACAGGTAGCCAAGGGGAGATGGATGATGGATTTAGGGCACGGAGGTGCTTTGAGGTTTGAGCTGCGAGGATGGGAGCAAGGAGGAGACCCTGAGCTCACTGCTGGGAAGAGCTTGACCCATCCAGAGCCTTATCCCATGGAGGAGACCTGGGCATTTCCGCACCAGGGCCGGGTCAGGGCCCCATGGACAGACTGCAGTGGCTGCTGGAAACTCCGGGAAGCGGCTCCGTTAACACAGGATGGACAGAACAAAACCCTGCAGCCATTAATCAGCCTGATTGCAGCTGAATGTGCACATTCGGGTGGCAGTTGTTTACAGAGCTCTTCCCCTGCCCTGTCTGACAGTTAATTACCTGGGATTCCAAACGGAGCTGCTTTCTTAGGAATGTTCCCGTATGGGAAGCAGCTCCTGATGGGAGGAGGTGGGGGGAATCACGCATCCCTTCCCTCAACCCTTTGGCTGCTTCCTCAAGCCAAGTACAGTGATGGGGTATGATGAGCCAGAATGAAGCCAGCTATCTCCTGAGAGCTGGGTGTGGGGATAAGGTTGTGATGCCAGACATGGAGAGCGGCTGTGAGGCCGTGCCTTGGGGCAGCATGATGTGGGGCAGACAGCCCTACCAAGGGGATACCTGCTTTTATCCCTGAAAATGCTCTCTGCAGCTGTTGGTTCCAGCACAGAAAGAGACAGTTTGCCTTGGAGAGAGGGAAGAGGGCTGCACAGTGTGCATTTGGTGGGGGAGTGATGGGGAAATGCCATGGGAAGTATCCCTGGGTGAGCTGGTAGGAGATAAAGAGGTAGAAGTGGCAGCCTGCCCTCCTATTGCTCTCAATCTCTTTGACAGAAGGATTCAAATCCCTGTCATTGAGGGATATTCTGCTTTCTGGAAGATGTGGGATCCAGGCAGCTTTGCTCACCCAGGCCAGGTGGAGTGGAGAGGGAGCTGGGATGGGACCAAGTCCTGACCTGAGTGGGGCTGTCAGGGGGTGAGAGGCAATGGGAGCCCTGCAGCCCTGTGGGGAGCCTTGGGGTCAGGGGATCCCATAGGCACAGAGCCGTGTAACTGGGCAAGCACTGAACACAAAGTCAAATGAGAAACCCTTTCTGGAAATACCCCCACTGAGGGGAAGGTGGTGGGGCCCCAGGATGTTTCTCACAGGGGCGGATCTTACAGGGTATTAAAAAGGGCTGAGAACGGGGCTGGCAACCAGAAGAGGAAAGCCCCAGTCAGCAGCACTCACTCCAAGCAAGAGGGAAGGAAGGAAAACCACACTTTGCTGCTGCTCTGCCCTGCGGCCAGCTCCGTGGGTGATGGAATTGGCTCCTCTCCTCTTCATCAGCTTGCTGTGGGGCTGTAGTGGTGAGTGCCTGATCCCTCACCCAGGCTGCACGCTGAGATCCCCGTGCTTTTGCTCTGTGTGCTGCTTTTGGTGCTCCTTCTCCTTGCTCCTCAGCTCTGTGCCCATTATGGTGGAGCCCATGGCTGGCGTGTGAGTGATGCCATACATCCCTGCTCCAGTGCACTAACCTGCTGCCAGGTGGGCAGCAGCACTGGTGAACAGTGAAAACTGCAGGGAAAAAGATGTCTGTGGGGTCATTTCCAACAAAATAGCTGGAAAGTCTTGGTGGTAAGGCGTGCAATCAGGAGGTGATGCCTGCTATTTGGCAGACCCTGGCTGGATTTTGCCAGGGAAACATTGGCTCGAATGAATCGTCGCTATTAATCTGTGCCCCTTGTGGTGGTGGTGAGAAAAGAGCTGGGTGGTGCCTGCGTGTGACTAAACCAAAATCCTGTTTGCTTTGTTTCTTGGGGTTTGTCCCCTCCTCTGACCCCCACAGTCCCTTCTCCTTCACACAGGGCGGCCGACCAACAAACTGGTGGTGGTGCCAAAGGAGCCAGTGGTGCAGTACGGGGACGCAGTGCAGCTGAACTGCTCACTGGCCTGCCCAGGTGGCACAGTGCAGTGGAAGGGGCTGGACACCAACCTGGGCAGCATCGACACCCTCCTCACCCACAGCATCCTGAAGATCAGCAGCGTCAAAGTGGCCACGGAGGGCATCAAGATCTGCCAGGGCACCTGCGGTGAGAACAGCTACCAGAACACTGCCATCCTGAAGGTCTACTGTAAGCATCCCCACCACTTCTCTTGGGGGCTCCCCCTGCAAAGTCCTGTCATTCCCTGGAGATTCACAGCTTCCCGTGGCTGTTTCTCTTGCAGCTCTCCCAGAGGTGCTGCACATCAGTGTGGACCAAGCACTGATACCAGGGCAGCCATCCACCCTGCACTGCTCAGCTTTGCACGTGTATCCCATCATAGAGCTGCAGCTCGCCTGGTACCGGGAGGACAAATTGCTGATGGATGAATTTGAAGAAACAGAGACCGATGAGGGACTATTTGATGTTGTGACCACAGTGCGGGTGTCAGGGGAGGACGTGACAGAAGGGGTTGTGTTCAGGTGCGAGCTGACGTTGACAATTGGGTCAAAGACCTTCACCCGTGCAGCGTCCGTTCCTGTGAGCAGTAGGGGTGAGTACCAGGGATGGAGCTGGGAAGCTGGGGTCTTACAATGCTCCCACTGCTGGAGCCCTCCTCCGCTGCCTGGCATTGCTTGAAGCAGGAAGGATAACAGCTTGCCCTTCTTGTGCTGTGCTGTGAACCTCCTGTCCCTGCTGCCATGCTGATTGGTGCTGATCCCTGCTCTGGGGCTGCTGTGCTTGTGTAGGATGGGCAGAGGTGGCTATCGCTCCCTGGGGACAATGTGCCACATCTGCCTCTGAGGCCGCTTATGATCCTCTGTTTTCACAGCTGTTACGGAGCAGCCAACAGCCATGGCCACATCCACAGAGAGCCCCCACACCACAATGACCACAACAGTGATCCACAGCATCACTGCAGCCACAACAGTGCCATCCCAAGAGCCACACGAGCCCAGCAAAGCCCTGAATGCTGTGTCACAGAGACCTGAGACCCCCACAAAGTGGGCTGCTGCATCCAAACCCACCCTACCCGAGCATCATCAGGGCCCTGCAGTGGGCACAGCATCGCTGTATCTGGACCGCAGCTCAGCCCCCAGCACGGGCACTGTGAGCCTTGCAGCCACACAGGGAGCAGGTGTGGGTGGCAGCAGCCCAGGCTCCCACGTAACGACACCTACCTGCAGCCTGCAGATCTGGTCGCTGCCTCCCAACGGGATACGAGGCAGAGCTCTGCGCATTGAGTGCCAGGCACAGTGTATCCAAAATGCCTCCGTCCGTTGGCTGCACACCCCTGTGGCTCTGTCCCAGTACCGGGAGGAGGCAGCAGGCAATGGTTCCACGCTATGGTTGGACCGGGCTGAGCCCCATCACCAAGGCCACTATCAGTGCATCCTGCTGGGCCGCCATGCACAAGCAGTCAGCATGCAGCTGGTGGTCTCTGATGGTGAGTGGGGGGTCTGCAGCCCCCATCTGTCCCCCCTGCATGCATCCCTTGCGGTCTGCTGCAGCCATGCTGGGTGTTACAGTCACTGCAGCTCTCTGGTGCGTTAGGGGAGCTGATAAACAAGAGAGTGACTTTCTACAGGGGGAGGTAGTGATAGGACAAGGGGGAATGGCTTTAAATCAGAAGAGAGGAATTTTAGGTGAGATATGCTTTACCAAGAGGTGGTGAGAACCTGGAGGTGCCCAAGGCCATGGATGGGACCCTGGGCAACATGAGCTGGTGGGGGGCACCCCAGCCTATGGCAGAGGGGCTGTGGGGCTGTGAGGGCTCTTCCAATCCTACCATTGATATGCTCAAAGCTGGGGAGCTGCAGGCGGGGGAGGTGGGCCTGCAAGCCCATGTCCTTCTCATCTCTTTGCAGATACATCCAGCTCCATCCCTCCCATAGCCATGGGCACAGCGTTCTCACTCCTGGGACTGATGGTGACTGGTATCATATCTCGTCGCCTATGGAAACGATTTAAATCACACTACACTCTGTCCTAAGAGTGGAAGCTTCCTACAGCTGCTCCATTCCTCCCTATCAGCTCCTGCCATCCCTCTTTCATGCTGGAAGCTGAGCACCTATGAGCCAGGCGGCCCAGCTTCAGCATAGGACCACGAGAGCCAGCAGGGTGCGGGCTGCTCCCTGCCAGACCCCAAAAGGAGCAGCTCCAGCCCAGGGGCTGCAAGCATGGAGCTGGCTGAGCTGCTGCTGCACTCCTTTACATCGGGTGGGCACTGAGAGTTCTGTGTATGTGAGCAGGGCTGGGAAAGGGGAGTCTGACCCATGGCTGAGGCTGCTGCTGCCTGACCAGTGAATGAGGCTGTGAGGGATGAGCGGGGCTGGGAGGGATGGGGCTGTGCTGGCCTGGGCCTGCAGCTCGCAGTGAATCCCAGAGCACAGCAGACACTCGGTGCAGCAGGAGCTGGGGATGGATGCGTGGTGCTGGGTGGGTGTGCGCAACAGCAGCATGACTTTCAATAAAAGTGCTTTATTTGTGTTTGTGCTTTGACTCGGTCCCCACATGGCTCTGGTCCACTAGCAGTGCTGCGGGACGCGTTGCCCCTTAAGGAGCCCCGCATTTGCTGCACCTCACTGAGCTGCGGCTCCTTGCCCATACTCAAGATGGCGGCCTGCGGCTTCGCTCAATGGCGGCTCTCGGCACCATGGCAACCGCTTTCCACCCGCTGATTGGACGAGCCGGGCAATAATGGGGGAGACCCAACGGCCTCCTCGCCCACGGATTGGCTGCCAGTATTCAAGATGGCGGCATAGGTGCTTCCCGCTTCAGCGGAATGGCGGCGCACCAAGATGGCTGGGATCCGCCTTCGCCGCCTGCAGCTAAGATGGCGACGTACGAGAAGCGGCGGGCGGCGGCGGCGGCCACCCCGACCACGGCGGCGAGCAGCGGGCTGGGGGACGAGGAGGAATTCCTGCTGCAAGCTGACGTCACCGCCATGGTGCGGGAGGCGCTGCTGAAGGTGCTGGAGGCGCGGCCCGAAGAGCCTGTCTCTTTTTTGGCCGACTACTTCGAGCGGTTGGTGCTGGGCAGCTCCGGCGCAGCGGCCGAGGCGGCCGCAGAACTCTCGGGGCCGATGCAGCGCCTGTCCCGGGCGCTGTGGTACGTGCGCTTGGCTCACCACTCCCACAGGTGCGGACCAGAGGCGACGGGGAGCGGGCGGCGGACTACGGTTCCCGGTGTGCCCCGCGGCAGCGGCGCCTTACTCGTCTCCTGCCGGGCGCGCGGGGCACGCTGGGAGTTGTAGTCCCGAGAGAGGGGGGCCGTAAGGCGGCTGCGGTGTTGAGGTTGTGTTTTATCCCGTGTTGCGGCAGGACGGCGTTCAACAACAACATCAGCACGGCCTATGAGGTCCTGGGGGCCGGCGGGCGGCGGCGGAGGCTGGGCGTGGATGGGCGGCTGTACAGTGAGCTGCTGCGGCGCATCTGTCAGCACGGGGACGCACCCCAGGAGGTGGCTGCTGCGTTGCTGCAGAGGGTGCAGTGCCGGGACCACGAGGCTGTGCCCTTCGATGTCTTCCGTTACGGCGTCCTCACCTGCTTTGTGCTGCTGGAGTTTGTGACCAAGGCAAGGATGCTGTATGATGTCCTGGATAACGGTGCCGGTGTGGCAGACAAGAGTGTCTGCCAAGCTGTCCTGTGTACGTTGGAGGAGGCACTGGGAGCCAGCAGCCTTTCTGTGCCTGTCCGTTATCTGGAGGCAGGCTCCAGGTTGGGGCCAGACTGCTTGGCCTTGGCCATGGACCGGGCACTGCAGGAGAGGAAACTCAGCACCACTATGAGCAGAGAAGAATTCCTGAAGAAAGCTACGGCCTTATTTGTTGCAAAAGTGAAACCTGTTGAGTAACGTTCAGGTGGGAACAACATTTGCTGGATTCCCTACATGGTTCAAACAGCACTTTGTGTCGAGGAGAAGGCTCTACTCCCTGAAACTGGCTGGGCAGCGAGGCTTGGGTGTGCAACTCAGGTGAGCCCTGAGTCTGCTTGATGAGAGACTGCTGATTTCCATGCTCCATTTCTTGCTCTGAGCAGTACCAGTGCCCACTCACCTCTAGAGCTTGATGTTCCCATGTCCTGGTGTGCCTCTCCTGAATGTAGCTCCTCTATTTCCAGCTGGCTTCAGTAAGCCTTTTTTTCAGGCATTAAGTGGGAACTGTAAACTGTAGGGCAGTCTTAGTAATTAAAAACAACGCAGAGTTAATTAACTACGGGTCTGGATCTCCTGTGATGCCATCCTAGCCCTGATGATGCTGTGTTTGTGCAGCCTCAGTGGGGAGCTTTGCCTTTACATTTGGATTGATTTCATCCCTGCCTCTGAATGATGGTTATCTACCTTGCAGCCTATTGTGACGACTCAGAGGCAAACACAGGGTTGATATGAAGCATGAAATAAAGCATTACTTGACAGACAAAATGTTTTAAATGCAGAGAAGATAAGTGGCTGGGAGGAGCTGCTTGCTGCTTGCTGGAAAGCTGTTGGCAAGCAGCTGCTCTCTTTCCTTGTTCTGTGTTTACCAAACCGCCTCCAGCTCTGCAATCCAGATGCTGGAGATGAAGGTTCATACTTGAATAGTAATTTTCCCAAGGAAAACTGTGGAGTGCTGCTGATGTGGGACTTACAGCACCAAAAGACAAAAACAAACTTCATTCCTTTAGAGGCCGCTTTGCTTGTGAGGTGTGTTGAGCTGTACGAGTATTTATTTGAATTTATCTCTTTTAATTATGCTGCGCAATGATTGATGTACAGTCAAACATTAAAGCTTTTTCTTATTTTTAGTTGCCAGTTTCTTTACTGCTTAGCGTCAACGGCAGCAGTATCCAGAACTGAGGGTTTGTTCAAAGCGCACGTGGCGCGTTAACCCAGCGCTGCCCTCACGTGGTACCTCAGCGCGGAGGCTGCCGGGAAATGGCCCCCAGCCCCACGCTCTCATAGGCGGACAGCGTTATGAGAGCGGAGCCCTCTCTATGCCCCGCCCCTTCTCCCGACAGAGCGTTTTGTTAGGTTGACATTGCAAGGGGGCGGAGCCTGATTAGGCCACGCCTCCGCTGAACGAACTACAGCTCCCGCGATGCATTGCGCGGCTGCGCTCGGACCGGCGCGCGGAGCTGCCGCTGTGTCCTCCCTTCCTTCGCCCCTCTCGCGCTTTCCTGCGGCCGCTGTTGAGCCTACGCAAGCCCCCGGCTTCAATTGCGGCCTACCCATCTCGTCGGGATGGCGCGGTCTGTCGTGCCCAGCTCACAGAAGGCGCTGCTACTGGAGCTCAAAGGGCTGCAGGAGGAGCCCGTGGAAGGGTTTCGGGTCAATTTGGTGGACGAGGGGGACCTATACAACTGGGAGGTGGCCATCTTTGGCCCCCCCAACACCTACTACGAGGGCGGGTATTTCAAGGTGAGCGGTTGGGAGGCACAGGGCAGCCGGCAGCGTCGGGTGAACCGTCATCCTGTGGGGAAGAAGCTGTGGTGGCACGGAATGCTTGGTGTCTGGCTTTGAGCTGAGGAGGTGGGGGTTAGGAGAGGGTAAAGGAAGTGTGTTCTGTTGGAGGGGTGCAGGTATGGGAGAGTCGAGTGGAGAGACCTGAGGGGAGAGGGGAGGGCTCACATGTGGGTTGTGGTTTGAGGGAGCAGTTTTGGGTGGCTCAGGGCAGGTGCCAGGAAGCGTGAGGGGTGCTGAGGACAAGGGAAGTTGCCAAGCTTGTCGCTGGGGCCTTTGGACGCTGTGGCTTATGGTGTTAGGCTGCTTTGGGGGCCTGGCAGGAGGAGCTGCCAGCAGGGGAGAAGGGAGCGAAAGTGCTGGTGTTTGCTGCCAAACTGCACGGGAATTCTGGAAAGGGGCTTTTGGCACTCCTGGAGGCTGCTCCCCTCTTCCCACCTTGACCTCTGCCTGTGGGTGTGGGAGAACTTGGGATTGTGTGTTCCCTCTACCAGGGGATCCCAGGCGTCACCAGTGAGCCAGGAGGGAATGGACAAAGGACTCCATGCTGTGTGGGGTGCGTGGCTCAGGCAGCTTTGGTGTAGGGCAAATGTGTTTCTTTTGGGGTTTTGAGTGCCTGGCATGACTGCGTGCAGTTCCTGTAAAAGGAATGTGTGTACATGTTCTTCCCGGTTGTTGTGCAATCCGTGTAGCTGTTTTCTTCCTCTCTCCTCTGCTCAGGCTGATTTGTCTCTTGCTCTGCTGGCAGGGTAGGGGTGTGCCCAGGTGAGTCAGCATGGGGGTCATCGAGTCTGATGCTCCAGAGTGAGATATCCTCTCTTCACTGACACCTTTCCCTGTAGCCTTTACCTGAGGCTCTGAACTCTCACATTTCAGCAGCTCATGCTCCTGTTTTGTGCTGGAGTGATCCTAGGCTCGGTTCTGTTAAGTGGTGATAGAGGAGACCTATGTGAGAGAGAGGGCAGCGACAGCATCTGCACGTTCACACATAGCAAAGCACAGCTTCATCCAGAGCCCCCCTGGGGAGTGCTTTGCTTGTGGATGGTTTTGTTCTTGTCCTCGGACAACAAAGGGGATATTCTGCCAAGTTCAGCTGTTTGGCCCCGGTGCAGCACAGGCCCTGGTGTTGTTTGTGCTGCCGTGGGCCACGTGGAGCTCTGTGAGCACACAAAATGTTGTTTACCCCAGCTTCCATTCTCGCTGCTTCTTTCCACCCTTCTGTGTTGCATAGAGCAGAGCAGGCAGATGAAAGGCTGGAGGAAATGGGCTTAACGAGGCTCCTATAACCTGCACTGAGGTCGGCTTGTGGCAGAGGACCCAAGCTCCTCTGTGAAGTGCCATGGAGAGTGGCAGCAGATGGACACAGGGCCAGATGTGGGGCTGGATAGCTGGGATGCGACCAGATGTCCCTCTGTGCTGATCCTTTAGTGGCTGTTAGCTGGCAATGGAGTTTGGTAATGCTGTGTATTAATAAGGCTGTAATTCCAGCAACAGCCAAAGTGTCTTTTGCAACGACTGCTCTGAGCAGGGCCTGCACTGGGTTCGTAGATCTTTTTCTCGAGAAGATGAGAGCAATGATCCCCAATTACCACTGAGTTTTTGCTGAATTTTGTGTTGTTTTTGTTGTCATTGTTTCCGATTGTTGACTTTTCTTGTAACAGTGACTAAACCTCATGCAGGAAGTTTGCTTTCAGAGCCTGGAAGTGCCCAAAATGCGGCTGTTAGCCCATTCCAGGGAGGATGAAGATGCCACCGTGCTCCTCTGCACAGTGTAGTGTTGCTCAAAGGCCAGCAGCGAGTCTGTTCTCTTGGCCTGCTTTGATCAATTCATTCATCCAGGCCACTGCCTGCAAGAGAGCCTGTTTAGTGTTCTGTTGTCTCTGCTGGCAATGGATGTGGGCCGCTGCGTGATCTTCATCCACACTTATTTTTAGTGCCTTATCTATGCAGTATGGCTGGTTTAGACTTGGTCTCTTTTTTCAGTGTTGACGAGCTATTCTTAGAGGCTCAGTGTGTTACTCAGAGCGCCAAACACCCGATGCCTCTTCCCTGTTAAGCTCTGAAGGGTAAACACTCTTCTTCCTCATTGCTCAGTTGTAGCTGTGCCCTTCTGTCAGGAGCAGGGGAACAGCCTGGGGTTCATAGTGCTGGTTTTCTTTGGGCCCCCCTGCAAACATCCAGCCCTTGCATCACTGCTGTTGATCACCTGGAAGCCGTGTTGTTGCCCACTGTGGGTGAGCCAGGTGGGACAGTCCTGCACGTCAGGGCACCGGTTGCAAAAGTAGGGAGGATGGGGAATGCTAGCAGAGGGTGGAATTTGTTTCTCAAGGGGTTAGGTGAGAAAAACATCCGGGGAGTTGCCTGTTTGTTTGCCAAGCAGCTTGGTTGCTATTTCTGCTTGGAACATGTGACCAGTGCTTGGCAGCTTCTCTGTCCCCTCCAGTCTGCAAACTCGTTCCAGGCCTCGTTTTGCCTTTGAGATGAACCTGCCCACCTTGATGGCTGCCTCCCCTCAGCACCGTTTGCTTCCTGCTGTAGCCAAGCGTGAGCATTCCACTCTTAGCAGAATCAGTGTGATTGTCGTGCCAGCAACCTCTGGACTCTGCTCCAGTTTGCTGACCTCTCATGCCTCTGCTTCTCTTCCTTGATGTGACGTAAAGAAAGGAGGCTTGCTGACTGCAAACGTGGGCCTTTGGGGTTAGGCCAGGCCTGAGAAGGGTGGCTGGGCCCTAATCACCCATTAGTGGCACAAGGAAAGTAATTCACCTCCTAGTGGCCACCAGCCAGCACAGAGACTGTATCTGCAGTGCAGGGGCATTGACAGAGGCTTTTTTACCTTGGTGGTAGTAGGAGTTATGTGGCTTCTTTCTTTTCCTTTTCAGAAACTGATAGTGATGTCTTTCTATCATTCCCTTGCAGGCCCGTCTCCGATTTCCCATCGACTACCCCTATTCTCCCCCTGCCTTCAGGTTCCTGACCAAAATGTGGCACCCCAACATCTATGAGGTAGGTAGCCTGGGACAGTGTGAGAGCTTCTTGTACAGACAGACAAAGATGTGTCTACCAAGCCCTTGTCGTGAGCACAGCACTGGAAACTCTGCACCTCTAGAATTTAGTGTCTGGTATTGGAAATGCATCTGACTGAGGCTTTTAGGACAGCCTGTCCCCTATCCTGGAACTGGTTCCAGGTTAGTCAGGCTTGAGGACTCCGTGTGTATGCAGCAGGGACGTGGTGCTTGAGCCAAGGGTTGAGGCAGAGCCCACAGCAGTACAGCTGCTGTCTGAAGCCATCGAGGAGCACCAGGAGAGCTGCGCCACGTTTTCAGTGTCAGCTGGTGGCTTGGCAGCCCCATCTGTATCATACCAGCAGCCTCAGGGTGCTAATCCAATGCCTGAGAGTGCAGACAGTGTGTGGTAGGGACAGCCCCTTTCAATATCCCATCTAAAGTAATAGGAGCACAGGCTGGGGCTTCCTCACATGGCTTAAGCCAAAGGGAAGAGCAGCCAGGGTGCTGGGACAGAGGATGAGCTGCTTTTGGGGCAGCAGCCCCTACAGATGCTATTTTTCTGTGTACTTTCAGACCGGTGATGTCTGCATCTCCATCCTGCACCCACCAGTGGATGATCCACAGAGTGGGGAGCTGCCATCCGAGAGGTGGAACCCCACACAGAATGTGCGGTACGGGCAGGGCTGGGGAGAGTGAGCGAGGGGGGACCCATGGGAGGCTGCTGGCATCCGTTGGGTTGCAAGCAGCTGCTGACCTGCCTTGGTTCTTATTTGCCCTTGTCTTTTGGCTGCCAGGACCATTCTTCTGAGCGTGATCTCACTGCTGAATGAACCCAACACGTTTTCTCCAGCCAACGTGGATGCCTCCGTGATGTACCGCAAGTGGAAGGAGAGCAAAGGGAAGGATCGGGAGTACACAGACATCATCAGGTGTGTGGGGAGCTGGGCTGAGACCCAGCAGCACTCCTGTTGTGTTGAGAGGGCTTGCTGAGCTGTGGTTGTGTGTAGTACGTGGGGCAGGGAGATCCTGAAAGCTCAGCCTGTTCAGTCTTACCTGCAGGTTGGTTGGGTAGAAGGAATCTGGCTCTGAGTGTGGCTCTCGAGGAGCAGTTTGGCTGTGTTAAGTGCTCAGCTTCGTTGTTGATGTGAGCCCTGGCTCTTTTCAGCTCTGGGTGTGGGTATGCAGCACTGCATTGCTGCCAGGTCTGTGGTTTGGGACTGGCCAGCTTTGGCATGACAAGAGGGGCCCTCAGAGCGTGGGACACTTCCAGTCCTGTGCGGTGAGCGTGAGCTGATGCACAAGAGAGAAAGAGTGCCTGCAAGCCAAGCTGTGCTGTGCAAAGCCCCCGTCCTCACCCCCACCTGCTTCTTCCCCTCTAGAAAACAAGTCCTGGGAACAAAGGTGGATGCTGAGCGGGATGGCGTGAAGGTCCCCACCACACTGGCAGAGTACTGCGTGAAGACCAAGACTCCGGCCCCAGATGAGGGCTCAGACCTCTTTTATGATGACTATTATGAGGATGATGAGATGGAAGAGGAAGCAGACAGCTGCTATGGTGATGAAGATGATTCTGGCAATGAGGAATCTTGATGGCCCTCTGGCACTGCAAAAAGTGCTGTAAACTACTGAATTTTACCTCAACTAGGACGAACTGGTTTGAATTTAGGATCTGTCAGCCCTGAAATTAACTCTACCTCACAGGGAGACTGTTCTGCTGTTGTAAAGGAAACCCCACCGCTGTCTTTGTAGGGAAAAAAGATGTGAAAAACAGAAACAAACCCTATTTTATAAACTCACTGAGTGGGGGTGGGTGGGAATGGGAAAGTCGTGTTGGGGGCATTTGCAAATGCACAGAAACCAGGGAGCTTTTGCCTCTGGCTGGGTTGGTTGAGGAGTTATGGGGAAGCTGGAGTTGACTGCCCCTTGTCTGGACATGATCAGCTCTTTTTTGTGGAGGCTGTGAAGCTGGTGAGTGGTTGCTTGGGTAGGAAGCATGTAAGATTTGGTGTGGCTTTCTACAGCCATTAAGCTGTCCGAATGGGAAGGGCTGCAGGGTGGGTACAGCTGCCCCTTCCCTGGGGCAAGGCTGTCCTGCCTGGCTCAGGATTATCCCTTGTGGGACCCTTCTTCTGCCCTTCCCACACTGCTAAGGCACAGGCCTGGGCTGTTTGTAGCTTTTAACTAGTTAAGGGGATGCCATAGTTTGGAGTCTTTCTGCTTCTGTTTGTTTTGTTTTGTTTTTTTTTCCTCTTTTTTGGAAACTATTTAATAAAGTACTTTAAGGGAACGGCTGTGTGAGCGCCTGAAGCCAACTTTGGGTGAGTTCAGGGCTGTGTCAAAGGCTGCATATGGGGCTGGGGGGGTTCCTGCAGTAACCCGCATCCCTCCTTTCCTCTGCAGAGCAGGTAGGCTTTAACTGAAAGTTTGCTGGGCTCAGGCAACTCTATGTGCCCCAGACCTGCCCAGGCAGCACCCATCTGCCTAAACTTGGAGCTTTGCCCTTTTGCTGCCTGGTCTTTTGCCGGCCTTTCTGATGTGGGTGCAGCTGGGCAGCACCCCAAGCCTGCAGGCCAGGAATAGCTGGGCTGCGTGCCTTGCTGGGGCTGTGTTGGCTTCTGCCCTGCTCTGACCAGTGCCTGGCTGGGCTGGGCTGAGGGTGTAGAGGAAAAGCATTGCTGCTCATTTCTTGGGGCTGGGGCCTCTGTGCCCCCTGCCTTAAATCAGTAGTGAGCAAAACTTCCCCCTTGTCTGACACTGTGCAAACCGGATAAGGATTTGTGCCTGCACGTGGTCAATGCACGTGCATTGCTGCCTTAGGAAATCAGGTTTAAAAGGTGGATAGGATTATTATCACTTTAGTGGGGCTGGCACAGGGCAGCACCAGCCTGAGCTGCACTTTCCAGATCGACCAAACCACTTCCTTACCCTAGGGGTTGCTCTGTGCATTGCAGGTGTGTCTCCTACATACAGGCAGCCGCTTGGAGCTGTGTCTGAGGAAATCCACAGTGCAGGAGAGGAAAGCAAACAAATGGGAAGGGGCAGCCAGGCAGGACACGGTGGTGGGTGGAAGCAGAGCTTTGGAGGGAAGAGGAACTCCAGGAAGATTAAAGAGTTTACAAGAACAGGCATCTCCCCATGGGGAGCGCTGCAGGGAATGGCGTCAGTGCATACATTGTTTGAGTGTTTCCTGCCCCTCTCCCCACCCCTCCTGCAACCTCTGTCCTCTGTTAGGTGTGAGCTCCGGGGTTGGTTCAGCTGAGAGTCACTGCCCAGGGAGAGGGAGGAGGTTCAGGGACAGAGCTGCTGCCCTGTGGAGGGCCCCCTGCTCTGCTGATCGGAGCTGAAGCACCTGCCTGTGCTGTGTTATCTCCTGCTCCAGTGCCTGGGTGCTTATCAGGGAGCTTCAGCTGGGCTGGAAATGGGGACTCCGAGCCCCAGCATAACTCAGAGCAAACGGAAGATGCTGTCTGAGCTGAGAGCTGTGTGCTGGGGGCCCGTTGCCACCAGCCAGGCCCCGGCATGCTGGGCAGCCAGTTTGCCTTGGCAGGGACCCTGCTGTTGTTCTCAGGCCTCCTTTGTCTCAGTTTCACCTCCTGGGCTGGGGAATTGCTGCCTGGTTCCCTTCCCATGAGCTCAGCTGTGGCCCCAGTTCACCCCAGTGCCTCCAGTGTGGCCGTGGGGACACCCAGTTCTAATTGGGGACCCTATGGTGGTTGGGTGATGGTGGTCACCACCTGCATCTGCCATTCCCTGAGCAGAGGCACAACCCGTGGGACCCTGCAGGTCCCCCTGCGTGGTGGAGACCCCCCAGACCACAAATATTAAGGATTAATAGAGGTTCAAGGACAGATAACAGCTCTGTAGGGTGGATTCGGGGCTCCTTCATCCATCCCCAATGCTGCTCCGCCCCGAGGTCAGATGGGCGGTTGGAATGGAGCCCTCCAGCCCGGCCCTATGGGCACCCCGTTCCCATCCCCGCTGTGTTCGGTACAGGTTGGGGTCAGCTGGAGTTTGCCCACGGGCAAGCCGCGCTCTGCAAACAGCACAGAGCAAAGGGCAGCCGGCGTTACTCGGCCGTTCGCCCTGGACAAACTCCCTCCGACCGCCTTCCGTGCTGTTTTCCTCCCCCTCGCTTCTGCCCTTCCCCACCGCCCGCGGATGGCAGCACGGGAGCGCGCCTCCGCGGGGCCGCGCATTGCCTCCCCCCCATTCCCCCTCGGGCCTTCCCATTGGCTGCTCGCCGCACTGTGGGCGGAGCCTCGACTGGACCGGCCCGAACCGGCTCTCCCCCCAGGGAACGCGAGGCAGAAGGGCGCTCTCTGAGCCCTTCTCTCTGATTGGTCAGATCTAGCTGAGGGGGCGGGACGAAGCTCCTGAGCGGCGGCGCTATTGGTAGAGAGGAGCGCCGATGGGAACGTGGTTCCGCCGCTCTGTCCTTCTCTCCCTCGTGACCCGGCGCGGCGCTTATAGTAGGCGGTGCGGGGCGGCGCGGAGTGCGGGCGGAGATGGCGGCGGGCGCGGACGTGCGGTGCGCGGTTCTGGCGCTGCTCGTGCTCGACTTACTGGCGACCGGCGGCGATGCTACAGGTGCGGTACCGGGAGATGGGGTGGGAGGGCTGGAAGCGCGGTGGGGAGGCGGGGTGGGATTGGATGTGAGCTTTATAGGGGGCGAGCGCTGGGAGACTTCGATATCGGTCCGGAGGTCATCAGCTCCGGGATGGGAGAACTGCTCCTAGGAGCGGCTCGGTGCGAGGCAGCCGTGGGGGTGGGTTGTATGGGGGGGGTCGCTGGGCTCCTCGCGGGGTTGGGGACGGGCGGGAGGCTCGGTCTCCCTGCGGCGAGGCACGTTCGCTGCGGGGCGGGGCTGCCCGGGCCATGCCGGGGGTGGGGGGAGCTGCCCCAGGTCTGGTACCGCCGCTCCGCCTCCGTTCCGACCGCGCGGAGCCTCCGAGAGCGGCGGGGAATGGAGCGGTGCTGATCCGAACTGCGAATTGCCCGCAATAAACAACGGGATAACAGCCGCTCCTCCTTCTGCTTGGGTTTATGGAGGAATAGCGGCTCTGAGGGCGTTAAACCCTTAAGGATGTTCACATGGAGCTTAAGGTTGCTATAATCCTCCGTCGCAGGAGGGCCGGTGCCGTGCCCGGTGCCGTCGGATCGCTCCGTATCCGCCCGTTCTCAGCTGTGCCAGCGCTGCCATTTCTCACTTCTTTTTATCTCACGGCATAAAATCGTGGCCGGGGTTCGTTTTGGGGCCTCGGGGTTTTGAGGTTTTTCCCCGGAGGTTTCTGACTCAGCCCCTGATGTGGATCGGAGCTTGGGGCTGGCTGTTGCTTGTGGCGATGCTGAAACGTTGATGCCGCGTTTAGGCTACAAAGTTACTGCAAGGTTCCGATTGGGATCCGAACGCTGGAGCCTGAGGGCAGAAACGTCAGCCCAGGCATTTCCCTGCTGCAAAGAAGTTTAAATTTCCCTGTAATAGCTGTAACCCCTGGGGGAGCAGGAGATAGAATGGAGGGATGTTTTATTCCCAGAGCCTGGGGCTGCAGCCAGCAATCCCCTCTGTACACAGCTGGATGGATGGGACCTGGCACTGAATGCCTCCTCTCTGTGTGTGCCCTCAGGCAGGGCTTAAGAGGAAATTTTCTGCCCTCGCCTTGTGGTTTTTCCTTTCTTCTCTGAGCAGCCCCTTCAGATGATGAAGTTGGGTCCAACGCGTCGAGGTGCTGCCTTTAGGGAATACGTGTGGATAGAAATTTGGGGTCCCTTTGTGGCTGTTTAACTCTGTTGAGTATGGATGTGCTGATTTCTGGGTGTTGGGGGGGGTCTGTTTGGGATATAAGCCTTTAGAGTGGGGTACCTTGTTTTCCTCCTTTGCTTTTGACAAAGAATTTAGTGCGTGATGCAGAGCAAGTTTGGAGAAGCAGTTTCCAGCCCTGCAAACCTGGGTGGGAGGACCTGCCCTGCAGGCAGCTGCTGTTAGATCTGCATTGTAAAGGATGTGCTTAATGAAGTACCTTTCCTGACCGAAGTTCAGCAGAGATTACTCTTCACATCAACCAACTGGAGGAGTTATGGAGGGGGGAGGGTTCACCTCTCCTCCACGTTCAGCACTTTTTGGAGCAGGATCTGCTCTGCAGCCTCTCTGAACTGCTCTGAGTGCCCTTTAACTCATAGCACGTAACCTTGCAGCAGCTTGTTTTATCAGCCTGCTATAATCACCTTGTAACTGTAAAACACACACACACACGCCCCGAAATGAAACAAAATGCAAACTCACTGCTGCTTATTAGCCCCTATTTTGAGTCAGGCTGTAGTTAACAGGGACAGGCTTCTACATGTGCTGGTGTTGATGCCGTGGCTCTTTGCAATGAGGTGGTTGGGAGCGTTTAAGCCCTGCAGTGTGATGCACAAAACCAACCCTGCAGCTTCAGACACCTCCTACATCTCTTGCTTAAAAACAAAGCAATTCAGGATCATCGTTCTGGTGTCCCTGTTGTGTTTCTGTAGTCTTTTCGTGGCTTGGAAACTAAAGCTGCTTGCAAAGGTGTTTCTGAAAGGTGCATTTTTAGGAGTGAACTGCAGTGCTGTTGTTGACACAAAATAGCAGCAGCCTCCCAGGCTGCTCTGACCTCTGCTTTAAGGTGCCTTGGTTTTAAATATCAACTGTCTGCTAAAGCTGCCTTGTATCCTATGAGGTCAGAGCTCTCCTTGCTTCTCCAGGCTCATCTATCCCTGCAAACCTCTGAAGTTTCAGTGTAGAAAGCTAAATCTCCCTTTGAGAAATGTACCTTGCAGGCTCCTTTGTGTTTGTCTTGAGGAAACTTGGTTTCATAATGCCAACTTGCTTTCTGTGCTCCCCAAACCAGCCATGAGGTGGCACATTGAAATGTCCTAAGGCATGTAAAAACAACAAAAAAAATAGCCTCAAACCCCTCTCCCTCATGCCTGCGTGTTACAAAACCCACGTGGAGCCATCTGTATAACCGTGACATGGAAGTGCTTAATACCAGCCAACTGATTTCCTGGGGATGCTTTTATTCTGCACGTCTGCTGCTGGCAGTTCTGGGAAGAGCAGCCTGCAGTCAGCTGCAGGAAATACGTGTTGCAAACCTCCCCAGTTCCTCTGGAACCTCGCTGGGGCTGTCACGTAAGTAGCACTGACTCCTCAATGCCTTTTCCTGGAGTGATGCTGGCTGAGCCACCCTTCCTGCCCTCCCCACCCTCCAGGGCCTCTTTTCCCTCCCCCGTGCTGTGATGATTTGGGCAGTCTGGGGCTGCTGGATGTGGCTGATAGCCGCTGGAGGTGTTTGGCAGCTGAGCTGTCAGAGCCCTGCATTGCTTTAGCTGCAACCTTTGGACTGTCTGCTCTCAGATGTGGACCCCTGGAGTCAATAAACACGCTGTATATTTCTAGGTGATTGGTTTTAACCTGTTTATTACTGATTTACCTCTGCAAAGTTGGCTTGCCTGGGGTGAAAAGTCTCATCTTGCTGTCTGCCAGTGGATATGCAGGGTGAGAAATGCCTCTGCACAGTGTGAAATCAGCACGGCTCGTAATATTCTCAGCTTGGGGAGGTTGGAGCAGGACTTGTAAGGTGGGAGAAATACTTCAGATACCCCCGTTGGTGTTGTTACAGCAAGGAGCCATGCTCAGATGCTCAGTGTACCCATAGAGGTGTGTGCAAGGAAGTGCTTCTCATGCTGCTGGGAGGCAGGGCTGTCTCTGTGCATGCAGTGTGCGTGGCCTTATTGCTCTCCCAAGCCCGGAGGACACCTCACTGCAATGAGATGCAGACAATTCCCTTGCAGGAAGCATTCCTGTTTGCATAGCTGGGAGCACTGCACTCTCTCCTGCAAGCTGTGGCTTTGCAATAGGAAATCTGGCTGGTGGTGGAACAGCTCAAACTGAGAGCCATAGGTTAAGGGGAGGGAGAGAAGGCAGGCAGTGACCCGAGGATTATTTGCAGCCTCATCTCAACGGCTGAGTTTTTGCTTGTGGCAGGTGGATTCTTGCTTTGCACTAACACTTTGCACTAATACCTCTTCAACTCGTAGCTGGTTTTATAAAGTCACCACTGTCTCAAAGGAGACTGACTCAGGACAGCGTCGAGTTGCACTGCGAGGCCGTTGGCAATCCCATCCCTGAAATCCAGTGGTGGTTTGAGGGTAACGAGCCTAATGAGACCTCTGCTCAGCTTTGGGATGGCGCGTGGCAGGACCGGGTCAAAATCAACGCCACCTACAACCTGCATTCCACCAGCACCATCTACATCGCAAACCTCACCAGCGACGACTCGGGCACTTATGAGTGCAGGGCAAGCAACGACCCTGATCGCAATCACTTGTCGAAGAGCCCTAAAGTCAAGTGGATCCGTTCACAGGCCAACGTTCTGGTCATCGAACGTGAGTGGCCGTCCTGAGGCCTTGACACTTGCTCGGACACCGGTGTCTTGAGTCTCCTGCCATGCTCACCCTTGCACCCGTGGCTCCCGAAAGTCCCCCTCACCTTCTCACCCCGGCTGTAGAACCGAGAGACTTCTCCCCTTCATCCCCCAAATCCCTCCCTCCCCCCTTTCTGTCATCTCCTCCACCACCTCTGGCTTGACCTCAACTGGCCCTGCTCAAAAAGGGTTGTGACTTCCCAACCAAAACACCATCCTGTGTCTTTTTGTGGATCCAAAGACCTGGACTGTTCTGCTTATCCCCGAGTGCCTCTGTGCCCCAGTGCTGGCTTGCAGAGCCTTAGTTCCGTTGGTAGATTCTGCCCTAACCACCACTGACAAACCAGCCCTTCCCTGCACTTCGTGCAGCCTCTGCTCCTCTCAACAGCCTTGCTTTAAGCTCGCTTTCCTGCTTAGTGATTCAAGCTGTGGGGATCAAAAAATCTGCTTTTAGTTGCTGGTGGTGCAACCGTTTTTGAAATGGCCGTGTCTGTGTGCGACGCTGAGTGTGGGGAAGCTGCTTGTGCTCTGGATGTGAGCGGTTCCCTCTGCTTCCAGAGCCAACAGGCTGCTGATTTCTGACTAACAGAAACCTAAGGGAGGATCTAACGTCCTGCTGTGGTTTTATCACAAAGCAAAATCGTGTTCTCTCCGGCACAAGTGAAGGAAAACTCCAGCAGAACCTTCTTCTAGGGGAAAGTGAGGAGACAGAAAGCCGAAATGCCTGTTAGCCCTGTGCAGAAATCCATCTTTCTTGGAGATAAGGCTGGGTACAAGGGTAGGAAACATAGTGCCATAGGGGCCGTGTAATGGTTCTGCTAATGGCAGCTGTTGGAGTGCCTCCTTTGAGGAGCAAGGTCTGAGTCATCTTGTACTGCATAATTTACTGCTTCTTGGCACATGGGGCTCCAGGAACTTTAGGAGTCGTGGTTCTGTGCGTTGTTTTTTTCCCTCGAGGAAAATCTCACTGCAACTTTTTTGGGTTGCATCAGCCGATGCACGCACAGCTTGCATAAGGGCTTCTTTATTACCCCCTCCCAAAGAGGGCTTTGGCTGCCATAGGTTACGCTGCCTGCAGGCATATAGATCTGCTCAGGCTGTGGGAGGTGCTGGCGCTCAGCAGGCAGCCTCTGAAAGCAGAAAGCTGTGCTGCTGTTCCCAGCAGGGCTTTTTCCAACCCTTCGTGGAGCTCTCAGCTCTCTGGGAGCTGCACCCATAGAGCAGGAGGTTCCCAACAGCCTGGAGTGCACAGCAGCAGCTCTGCCCCACTGGAAGCAGCTGTAGCTCAGCACCCCTGGGGGCACTCATGTTTGGACTGTAAGTCTCCTGTGTTGAAAACATCCGTCAGGCCTAGTGAGAAACTGATGCCCAGGTAAGTGATGGAAGCAAGGAGCCGTGTTCTTATTCACATTCGAGTTTCTTGGGCAGGTGCTTGGCCTCACAAATAGCAGATGTTCACTTCTCTGGATTTGTTCCCAAATAGGTCCGGTGATCACGGGGCAGTACACCAGCTCTGCTGACAAGGTGGTCCTCAGCTGTAACATGAGTGCACCTCACGCCCCCATCAAGGGCCACAAATGGATGCTGGGAGACAAGACACTCAAGACAGAAGAAGGCAATTCAGACTCTTTCATCACTTACACGTAAGTGTCAGGAGCAAGGGCAGAGAAGAATCTCTACACAACAGTTGCATTTTAAGCTGGAGACACTTGGTGTTTCCCTAACCCAGACCGAAGTCTTTTTGCTAAAGCTTGCAGCCTTGCAAAAGAAAGAGTCTTTTAGGCTCTAAGGCCACGTGGAACAGCACACTCTAGTGTTCTCTGCGTGATGCTTTGATGTGCATCGCTCTGCTCTTGCAGAGCAAGCAACAGAGTTGCCTGATAGCAAAGCGTTTGCAGGTTGTGGCTGAGCAGATGTGGGAATAGTGGCCTTATTGTGGCAGAGCAGTGAGCTTTCCTTTCTGATTACAGTCAGGCCTGGCTGGCACTGACCCAGCAGCTGTAGAGGCATCATGTCCTTTTGTATGGCAGTGCCGACGTGCCTGTCTCCCCATAGCAACAGGGAGCTGAACAAGGATTAAAGTATTTATAACCCAGCCTCCCTCGTGTGACCTCAATTCCTTAGCTGAGTGGTTTTTGGAAGTGGGAAGCTCGGTGTGCAGCAGAGCTAACAAACAGTTCGTTGTCCCATTGCAGCCGTGGACTGAAACTTTGCTGGCTCTTTCCCTGGAGCGCTGCGTATTAGGGAGCTGCAGAATGAGGGGTTTGTTGCAGTCAGCATAATCCACTAAATCTCACAGTAGCAGTTTTGCAGGAGATTTTTAACGTGCAGGGAGGGAAGGGCAGGGAGCAGGGCTGCAGTGGGTGCAGGATGCTGCATAAACTGTGCAGCTGGGATGGGAGAAACTGCCTACAGAGGCAGTTTCTGCTTCTGTACATTGGAAATTGCTCTGCTGATTTGTTCACCAGCAGGGTGATGGCTCATAGGGTGACCTGTTTGGGGTGGTGGTTGTTTTTTTTTTTTTGATAGGATCGAGGGGAAGGTTGAAGAACACTCTGGTGTCTATGAATGCATCTATGAAACAAACCCAGTGGCAAAAGGAAACGTGTCTATAGAAGGTAATGTGGTCAGTTTGCTTCTGTGGCTGAGGAGGGGAGTGGGGAAGCTGTGCTCTCCTGAACCTCTTCCTCTTGGTAGCTTTTCAGCTTCATGAAAAACTGCTTCTGATCTTTACCAGTATGGCTTCAGTGTCTACCTGTGAATTACCAGATGCCCTAGGAGACATCTTTCATTTTATGAAGCAGCTGAAGCATCTGTAGGGTCAGCCTGAAGCCTTTGCTGTAACCAGTGTCTGTGTTCCCACAACAGTGATAGAAGGGATGGCACCTACTGGTCCAACCTATCTGAGCCTCTCCTGAAGCAGCTTGATGTGCTTTCCTCTTTGAATATGTCAGATGTTGGGCGAAAGATGGGGTCAGGACCCAGCAGTGAGCTTCTTAAACTGAAGGGAAGCCTTATGAGTGATCAGACTTTGATGCTGGCTAGGTGGGCTGCAAGGAGTGCAAGTCATTTGCAGGGAGGTGTCTCATTTCTTTTTGTCTTGCTGCAGTTCAACCCCAAGTTGTAGCATACAAGAAGTCTGAGCATGGGAACGAGGGGGACACAGGTGTGCTGACCTGCAAGAGTCTCTCCTACCCCCCTGTTGGCAACTGGTTCTGGTTCAGAAGTGATCAAACAGTAAGTGCTGTGGTTTGTTGCCCCCTTCCCCAGCCCCTTCTGCTCACCAATAGGAAGGCAGAGGGTCAGAATTAGCAATATTAGAGTATCCTTTACGCTCAGTGCTGTGGCAAGGAGGATTTCTGTAATGACAGCACTGCATGGTGAGCGAGCAGCTCCCCTTGTCCCAGCCCTGATGCTCTCTTTCCCCCCTCAGCTCCCCTTGTCCCAGCCCTGAT